TCTAGTAAAGATGGTAGAAAAACATAATTGTACTATATTACTTTCTTCCTATAGAACACAGGTGTCAAACTCATGGCCCACAGACCAGATGCGTCACACACTGGCCACGCCCATGCCGTTTAGTAAAGGGGGAGGAGTTCCAATACGTGATGTGACGACGCCATGACGCCATGAGTTTGACACCTGTGTTCTATAGGAAGAAAGTAATATAGGACAATTATGTTTTTCTACCATCTTTACTAGAATGTAGGAATTTTAAAAAGAAACTGACTCAATAAGCTCCAGTGGTTTGCAGGCCACAAATCAAGGAGAGAGAGAGAGAAAAAGACACTTACCTGACTTTCCTACTCCAGCTCGGCCAAAGATGGCCAGTTTTACCTCTGCGCTCTTAGCCATGGCAAGGGGACACACCACAGGCTGGTGGCTTCGTCACTGCTGTGTCCGAACTGATGCAAAGGATGACTTTCCCAGCCCAGCCTTCCACCTCATCGTATCATTGTGTTTTCCAAGGAGAGCTGTGAGAAAAGACCCACCAAAGAGAATTAAAGAGCTGATAAGGGGAAGGAAGCAGATACTCTCAACTATAGGCTATTTTTGAATGCGACTTTCATAGCCCATCAGAAAATCCTTTAAATCAGTTACTGTACTGCCATCTGCATTGAGCACACAGTGGCTGAGTTTCCAAAATACCTAAAGATCCAGACAGAATGGGGTGTGTAATCTGTCATTCTGCATATTGCCAAGAGGTGATATTCTACCAGTTCGGACCAGAACTGATAGCGGAAATCGTATCCAATTTAGGCCTTTTTTTCACCTAAAAGCGCATGGGCAGAAGGCTGCGTGCTCCCATTTGCAAACCAGTAGGGAAGGTAAGTCAATACCAGCAATTTGCACTGAAAAGGTGTGAGTTGAAATCCTGGAAGTGTGGTGGCACAGTAGTTAGAATGCAGTAATTGCAGACACACTCTGCCCACAGTGAATAGTTCGATCCTGACCGGCCTCAAGATTGACTCAGCCTTCCATCCTTTCAAGGTCAGTTAAGCGAGGACCCAGATTGTTAGGGGCAATATGCTGTCTCTGTAAACTTCTCAGAGAATGCTGGAAAGTACTACGGAACGGTATATAAGTCAAATGTTATCGCTATTGTTCTGCTCACACAACATTTATGCAGAGATTTAGGAAAATCCACTTATTTTTAATGGACAGACTAGGTTTAGCTTGTTTCTGAGGAGAAAAGTCTAATGAGGGCTTTTCTACTTTCATTTGCTCCCTATGAAATATTCGTTTTCTACATTTGGAGAGATTTGCTCTTAGTGTATACCTACGTAACTGAATAAAGTATCCAGATGCATCAAGGTTCAACTTATAGTACTGCTTTTTTTTAAAACTCCACTTTTCTGTTCCATTGTTCAGCAGGCCAAGAGAGCTTCAATTATTGTTCCCAGCATCTGGCCTTGAACAGTAACGTTTGAAGCATTATCTGAAGTTGCTTAATGTATGAAAAGATACACGAAACCTTTGGCAAAGCGCTGAAAAAAACAACCCCCTTTTTATTAGTCAGCAGGAATTACTTTAAAAGCTCGACGAGTAGGGGAAATGAAGCTATCTTGACATTTCTCCTAAACAAAGTTTTGTGCTAAAGGTATTCAGAAGCTTTTTGGATAATCAGCATCAGATGCAGAAGGCAGGACTGGAGAAATCTGGAAATGTTTGGTTGAAAATGTGTTTCTTTGAAGGAGCACAAAGGTTACCCCTGCTCCCCATCTAATTCTTCCCCATCTGTTGGATGGAGATATTTTGATCCAGAAATGTACAAGGCTGGGGCACAGAGAAATGATTCACTGTGCATCAATGCTGAATCTGAGATCATTATGCCTCTTAAGCAAGGGGGAAAATATGACATATTGATCTATTTATTCTTGTTGCATTCTTTTGCCATTGTTTACTTTATTGTTCTACTGTTTTACTTCTGTACTGTTTACATGCTTTTTATGTTTCTGTTGCAGCACTGGCAGAAGAATTGGACAGTGAGGAGGTTGGGGAGAAGCATGGGCCAGTCCTGGAGGCTGGGGAAGGCTCTGACGAGGGCTCTGCTTCGGAAGCAGAGATGGGGCCAGGGCCGTCTGACAATTATCACACGATCTTCAAAGCTAGACAGCAGTGAAGCAGAGGAACAGCTGGAGCCTGTTCCCTGTGTGCAAATGCACAGAGCTGCCAGAAGAAAACCAACAACTCAGAAATCAGGGTAGACTTGGGAGTAAAGTCACAGGTGGAAGGTGATTGGCCCCTCCCATAGGAAAAAAAAGAGCGAAAGGGGAGTGGGCTTTTGCAGGAAACAATTTGTTCGTCTGTTAGATTTGTTTCAGGAGTGTGAAGATCTGTCCGTGAATCTCAGAGACTCTGTGCCCAGTCTTCCCTTGCACAGCACCTCNGATTACATTGTAACAGTCTAAGGTGAAGCGTCCATCGACCTGAGTGACCTTGAGTTGGCCACACCCACCCAGTCACATGACCACCGAACCCCACCTACCCAGATAGTCATTAGGGCAGAGAACCAGTTGTTAAATTATTTGAATCCCACCACTGCCCCTAGTCCTAGGGGAGCCCTAGGTTGTATTGTTTTAATGCTGCAGACAATACAGCACTTCAGAAGTGCTGCTGACTCACACCAGCTAAGGAAGAAAAAGGTTGGAAGGACGATTCTCCTTTAACAATTTCTAAAAGGGAAGCAAATTAGTTACACTAGCTGCGTGCTGACATAATTCAGAGCTCTGTCTTGGGGCCTCATCAGCAAAAGGAACCAGCAGATTCCAGCCTGAATTTTGCTCGTTCCTAGATGAGTAATGTGTAGATGCACTGCCGGTGAGAGATTCATTGGCTTTTCCCTGAGCCTGATCTGGGCAAAGCTCCTTTCAAGAGCAGGGCAAAGCCTCTCTCCAGTCATTATTTACTGCAGTTTGAAAAATGCCAAGAAGGCTGCAAAATTCTGCATATTAATCTGGAAAGCTTCAGCAAACGCAGTGCAATAAATACCATATAAGAGAATAATGCTGAATAATGCTGCCCGTTTGGCAGAAAAGGTTCCTTTCTTTGCATTTCTTTAAACAGGTAATCCTCCACTGACTGCCACAATTCATGGCTAACCAAGGACATTGTTATGTGAGTTGCGCATAATGTTGGAAGAAATATCCAACATTATGCGCATTATGTCCATTTCCAAGCCATGAGGAAGGCACTAAAGACAAAATGGAGGCTGGAGGCTGATTGGAAAGTTGGTTTAATGATGAAGCAGAACCACATGGATGATCCTGGGCAGCTGATCACATGGAGTTGAGACTGAGGGGTTTTTACACAATCTCTTGGGCTTTGAACTTGAGCTTCCTGTTCCTGTGCAAGAACATGTATTCTATTGGCTGTTGTAGAGGGCAAAGCACACACAAAGCGAACCAGTACCAACCGGTACAGGAACCCACCCCTGCCTTAGACATATGCCAAGAAAAGATCCAGCTGCTTTAAAGAGCAGCAGAAAACTGTTTGCACCAATGCAATTTGAAACACTGCAAGGCCATACTGTCCATGTCGGAAAAATAGTTCTCACATGGTTTGAAATAAGCACCTCTATTGCCAAAACAAGGTACAGATGGAAATTGTATGTTTCGTTCAAAGGAAATTCAGTTTTAGTTTTTTATGCATGAAAAATGTGAATATTTATTTTAGTGCAAGGACAGCTCACGTCGCAGTTGAAAACGGGGCACGGGGGGGGGGGCTACGTTTGGCCCCTTGAGCTCCGTTTTAGCTGGGAGAGGGCTGCAGGAGGCCGTCACAGCCGAAAACGGGGCATGGGGGGGGCTGTGCGTGGCCCTCCGAGCTCTGTTTTAGCTGGCAGAAAGGAGAAATGTTCCCCTTCTGCATTTGAGCATGCAAGAAGGGACAGGAAAGGAGAAAGAGAAAGAGGAAAAACAAAGAAAAAGATGGGAAGATGGGAAGAGATCAAGGAAGGAAAAAGAAGGAGAGAGGGGAAGGAAGAAGAAAGGAGAATAAAAAGGGAAGGAAAAAGAAGGAAGGAAGGAGATTATAATGAGAGGGAAGGAGCACCTCAGGAAAGTCCTGCCTTAGCACTTGGCCACCACAGGTGCTGCGACATGAATCCTGTGGCCACGCCCACCATGGCCACACCCACCTCCGGCCCTCCAAGGTCAAACATAGCCCTCAATGAAATCAAGATTGACACCTCTACCCTATACCATTCCAGAGAAGTGGCTGTCCAGTCTCTTGCTAAAAACCTCCAGTGTTGGACCACCCACATCCTCCCCTCTCAACTATGACCAGATTCACCAGGAATCAAAGGGGGAAATGTGTATACAAAATCCCATTCATTAGAGCTACCAGATCTGAGCTGCAAACAATTGGATGATTGCTAAATGATAGCAAAATGTTGTGGTTTTCTGCATCTCTTTACTGCTGGTTAATATTTGGATTTTTGTAACCCGACTCTGGGGGCCCCTTGCCGCTTCATTTGTGGAATGAATGATTTCAGCAATTTTGGGATAAATCTGCCTGAAACAGGGGAGCACATGAGCAGTTACTCAGTAGATGACATCGGTAGCACCTTCCAAACAGAACAGCAGTTGCATTACATCAACAAGTCTGCTTTTAATGAGATTTCCTGGCAGCCTGAAAATTGAAAAGGGATACCAGGCGTTTCCAGCCACCAGGATTCATTCAAAATGAAACTCCCACAACACTATCTCTTTAATGGCATGGAATTGTTCTTTGGGTTCTTTTCCCCCCTTTAGGATGAGTCACTCCACACTTGATGTGGCACCAGAGGTTCGACACTTGTTGTAGCAAAAACAGATAGAATTTAGAAGGAGGGGAGGCTCTCCTCTAAACACACAGTGACGCAGGGATGCTTGTAGTCAGCTGCACTCAGCCATGGCTGTTGGGTGCACATCTGCTGTACATCTGGTTGCCCACATTTCCCTGTGCGCATTTAACTGTGTGTGTTTATTTCAAGAAACCCTTGAGAGAAATAAAAAAAAATGATTTTATTGTTCCGTTTGATGCAATCAAAACAATGCTGTCGTCAACCGAAGTGTCAAGTGACTTTGTGAGTGTGATGCCACTGCTTAACAGAGGCCTCTAAACTTCATATCCCATTGACTCCATATCCCATGCTTGTAAACCCCACTGATGATTTCCCTGGGAAATTAGAAATAGTTCTGTAACATGCTTGCGTGGCTCCAGATTGAAGGGGTGGGGGTGGGAAATTGCATTGGTTTCAGTTTGACCCACAGTTGGAAGATGACTCCCAGATCTTCCTAATGGCTGGCTAAATGGCAACACTTTTGTACTGGAAATGGATTTGAGAATTTGGCTATGGTGCACCCTGAAGTGGGACCTTCCAGATGGCACCAGACCACATCAAAAAGGACACTAGGTTAGAGAAGGAAGAGCTTTGGTACAGAATACTTGAAGTTGCAGCTGGGTTTTAGAAAAACGTGCCAGGACAAAA